TCATTGTCATTGGTGGCAAGCAAAATTTTATCCACATATAAAATAAAAAAGCATATTTTACTCCCACTCACCTTCCGGTATATACAATGGTCAAGATGATTTTCAACAAAACCAAATGAAGAAATAGCCCCATCGAACTTGATATACCATTGATGGGAAGCTTGTTTTAGACCGTATATGGATTCTTAAGCTTACAAACTAAATTCTCACCAACCCTAGAAGAGAAACCTTTCGGTTGTTTAATATAAACTTCCTCTTCTAGATCACTATTAAGAAAAGTTGCTTTCACATCCATTTATTGCAACTGAAGAATGAAATGTGCAACTAATTCGAAAATGACTCGAAGTGAATCTTTCTTTGATACATGATAGAAAGTCTCCTTATAATATATTCCTTCCTTTTGAGTAAATCCCTTCACAACAAGTCGGGTCTTGTATCTCTCAATATTGCCTAATGAATCTCTTTAGGTTTGAAAGACCCATTTATGGACCATAAGACAATTCAACAAGTTCCCGAACCCCATTGTTCTTCATGGAATTTATTTCATGGCTTTATACCATAAGTCAGATCGGGCACATTTAGTAGCTTGAAAAAAAAACATCTCAGGATCATTTTCGACTCCAATGTCAGATTCTTGTAGATACGAAATGTAATAACTAGGAACTGTTGATCTTTTCATCTGAGTAGACCGTCTTAATGTTGAACCTTCATCACCTTGCAAAGGTTGTGGGGCAACTACCTCTTCAAGAACTGGGGGTAGTCCTTGGATTGGTTCAGTCTGTATCGGTTCAGAATTTTGTAAATCCTGAATTGGTTCAACCATAGGTTTAGAATCTAGTTCAGGAAATTGCTATAAGTCCTGAAGTGATTCTTCCAAAGGTTGAGTCTCAATAGTTTGTGGAATCTTAACACTAGGTTGTATAATCGCAAGTGGGATCGAAGGAACATTGCGTATAATTACAACCCCATTAGATGACGTAGAAGGTTGAGAGCCATTATGATCGAATGAAGGAACTAAGTTCTTAAATCGATCTCTCCCATTGATAAAGTCATCTTCACGAAACTTAGTGTTCCTTGATTCCACTATTCTAGTAGTATGAAATGGACAATGAAACCTATAATCCTTAGAAGATTGTGCATATCCAATAAAGAAAACACTAATAGTCCTTGGGTCAAACTTCTTTTCATGTGGGTTATATATCCTCCCCTCAAACAGACATCCCTAAATACGCATATGTTGCAAACTCGGTTTCCAACCTTTGAATAACTCAAATGGTGTCTTAGGGACAGCCTTGGTTGGAACACGGTTTAATACGTAGCCGTCTTAAGTGCATCACCCCACAACAATTTTGGAAGTGTAGAGTTGTTTAGCATACTCCGCACCATATTAAGAAGGGTCCGGTTTCTTCTTTCAGGAACACCGTTTTAGTCCGAAGACCCAGGCATGGTGTATTGGGCATCAATCCCATGCTCTTGAAGAAACTTTGCAAAGGGACCTGGTGCTTGTCCATTTTCAGTGTATCTACCACAGTATTCACCACCCCTATCAAATCTAACTATTTGTATTTTCTTGTTGCATTGGCTTTCAACTTTAGCCGTAAATAATTTAAAGGCATCCAATGTTCATGCTTATTATGAAGAAAATAAACATAGGTAGATCTTGATAAATCATTAATGATGGTGATGAAATATTTGTGAATGAATTTTCGTTAATACTACATCGTTTGGTGTCGTTTTGAACATGTAAAGAATTATGATTTAAATCATTCTTTAAGTTAAGACGATAGAGACCATCAGACAATGTACCATCACAAACACAAGTAGAATTATTGAATAATTTGAAATACTTGCGATTAAATTCGAATGTAAAATCGAAAAGAGTACAAGTCTTGAAACTAAAATTAAATTCCTCGAAAAACTAGGAACAAAGGTCTCATCTAATGTCATAACAAAACATTATTCAAAAAAAACAAATTTGCAAATTCCAACAGCTTCAACTAGTGATGCAATCTTGTTTCCAGAGAAGATGCTTCACTCAGTTCCCGTCGGCTGCCTCAGATTTTGCATGTTCTGCAAAGAATTTGTAATGTGGATTGGTGAACCAGAATCAATCTATCAAGAATTAGTATTAACATCTGACATATTAGATTAAGAATATATAAAGAAGGGGGAAATATTACCCTTATCAGACATCCACTTCTTGAATTTTGTACAATATTTCTTCAAGTGTCCTTTCTTCTTGCAGAAGAAACACTTTTGTACCTTCTTAATATCAGCTTTTGAGGTCAATTTCCCCTTTGCTGCTGCAGTGAATCCCTTGGTTTTTCCAGATTTTTCTTTAGGCTTTGTTGTGGCCAACATAGCACTCTCCCCCAACCTCTTCAATAAGCATCTCTTCCTCTTGTGCACACATGGTTATCAATTCATTGATAGACCGTTTGTCCTTATGTGTGTTGTAGGAAATCTTAAAGGGGCTATAATGGTGAGGGAGGGTGTTAAGTGCAAAATGCACAACAAAGGTATCTGGAAAAATTATTTCCAACTTCTTCAGTTGAGCCGCAATATCCCTTACTTGCATGATGTGTTTGCGCGTGCCCTTAATAGTGGAAAGACGAAGACCAACAAACTTCATGATTAGAGTACTTGCCAAAGCTTTATTGGATGTAGCAAATTGGTCATCAATAGCTTTGAACAAGGTTTCGACTTTATCACAATGGTCAATTGACCCACGAATACTTCTTGGGATTCGTGTCTTAATGAAATACACACACAACCGATTGGATCTAGTCCATTGTGCGTGAAATTTCTTGTCAGCCTCAAAGCTATCGTTGGTGATAGGAGGAGGCTCTTTATTATGAATAGCGAAATTCATCTCTAACAACCCTAAGTGTAGGAGAACAACGTCTTTCCACTCTTGGTGATTATCATCGCTTAGCATAGGAACGTCAATCATTATTGTGTTTTGTGTTGGGATTTGAGGTTCTGTAAAGTATACCGAACGCTTGGTTAGAATTTTCGAGGCGTAAAGATAGAGAAAGACTGAAGTGCATATTATTAGCAATGTAAATTTATGCAAAAGATAGACTTGAATGCCATAAAAATTGCCTGTGGGCTAAATTTTTACGCAAAATAAATCTATCAAGGCTAAATAGTGGAAACAGAATACGTATGAATTTTGTTTGGTTTTTCCACCCTTAATGATAAAACTACCAAACTATATGTCGCTTCATAATTCCTGTGGGCAAATTATGATCATAGTTTAGTATTTAATCCTAATTCATCCTACAAATATAACAAAATTGTCTATGGGCTAAATTTTGCAATATTGCGCAAAATGAATTACAAAGGTATTGCCTATTCTTAATGTGATTTGAATTGAAGACAATTTATGCAATTACAGATGTTGTGGCTACTCTTTAATTACAAAATTGTAATCACTTGCCAAAACGGGAATTTAAAGCCTAGCAAACAGATTAAACCAACACATGATATATAATCATTAGGTATACTCCCAGGAAAGTTGGTCGAGATAAAACTCGGTTAAATACCAACTCCTTAGACAGAGTAGCGTCGCAAGGGGACTAGTAGCAACAAGGCTTTTAAGTCAGGGCCATAGAACTAGTATTCCTCCCAGAAACTTCCCTAAGTCATGTGTTCTCATATTTGAAGTAAAATCGTTTGGAAGATCTATAAGATTTGATACACCTATGGATTAGGCTTTAAATAGGGTAACTATGATTTTTTTTTTATGTACTTTATGTGCTTTAAGAACTTTAAGAAAGCATGAATGGAGTAATAATTGAGGTGTAAATAATGATATGGGCAATCTATCCTTAAAATGCACTAATTCACCTAAAAGGCACTAAATCATGCATAAAAGGCATTTAAATCATACCTAAAAGGCTCTAAATTAGTCCTTAAAAGAGCATGCATTTCTAAAGACATAATTATAACAGTAAAATAATTATGGCAATAAACATATAAGGCATGCTTAGATTATGCATATCAATTACTCATACTCCATAAATAAATTGTAACATTTAATACAATTTAAATCTGAAAGTTCAATATTAAATTAATATTCAAACAAATTTAACACTTAATAATTTGTTCAAAAAATTGAATAATAATTTAATATTAACTTTAGGCAAAATCAATTGGATAATTTTAATAAGAATAAGTCTGAATATGATGAATAATTAAAACTTAAGCAAGCCCAAACCAAACAGGCCCAAACAATTTTTTTTTTTAATATTCCAGGCCTGGCCGAATTGGGCTAGACCCGGCCCAAATACATCATTGATCATCTTCTTCACGTTCACCCTTCACCAATTGCGCTGAACAACAGCCATGGACCAGTAGACCAGCAACGCACAGCCAAAGGACGAACCAGCAGCCTAAAACGTCGCCGGCGTCGTCAATAGGGAAGCGGATGGCAGCAACGTCGCTGGAAACGCAGCGCCGCCGCCATCACCTGGCCTCCTCGCAACGCCAGCACCACCGCCGTCTGCCCGCCCGCCGCAGCCGCGTCGCGAAGCAGTCCGGCCATAACGCAGCGCCAACCGACGACGTACAGAACACGACGCTCCTTAAGGTCGTGCCATCGTCGCCGTTGATCCAAGCCATCACCAAAAACACCATTGTTGTTGATGATGAAGGAGGACGACGAAAGGAAAAAAATATTATTTTTTTTTAAAAGAAAATGTCACCTCCATCAACAACAAACGAAATTCAAAAAAAAAATTGCGAAGCAGTAGGAGAAAAACAAATTAAATCCAATTGTTTTTTTCTTAATGCGGAAAAAACTTAATTTCCAGTAGCCCAGACATACAATTGCATACAAATATACATGTCAAAATATACAATATATGCAATCAAAATACTTAAGGCTAGGCAGAGATTATACAGGCTCTGATACGAACTGTAAACATATAAATCACGTAGGAACTTAAATACATGACAGGATCTTTATTTAAGTACTAAGTACTAAACTCCAGTCATAGCTTCCGATTGATGATGATTGAGTAATCACGGGACTGCTGCGGTAGAGTAACAGTATATGTTTCTCTCACTTTCTCAACCTTCTCTGGATGGTGTATGAGGAATGAATGTTAAGCAGTGAGAGGACTAAAGGGCTCTTTATATAATAACCATATGCCATCAATATGGTAAACGAATCCCTTCCTAATCATACTCCTTATCTTTATAATCAAGCATTACCTTAATTATTAGAAGTATGTATGGAAGAGTTGCACCACATAACAGATTACCTTAATTATTATAAGGTTGACCTAATATTATAATAATGTAATCTGGGAAAACTTTACAGAGCATTGATAATGATCCAGTCTCGTTTAACCAAACCATATAGGATAATAAATCTCCTTGAGAATTATTTTGGCTTTGGTGGCTCATTATGATCTTGAGCTCCAACAAATGGTTGTTAAAATTGCCTTTCTGAATGGTAAATTAAAAGAGGAAGTGTATATGGATTAACCGCAAGGCTTCATGGCAACAGGAAAGGAAAATCTGGTATGTAGATTGAAGAAGTCGATCTATGGGTTAAAACATGCTTCTAGACAATGGTACTCGAAATTGTCATTTGGTTTTGTAGAGATCACTGTTGATCTGTGTATCTACATAAAGGATTAATGGAAGCAAGTTTGTAATCCTAGTATTACATGTTGACGACATTCTTCTTGCTGCTAATAATAAAGGGATGTTGTGTGATGTTAAGGAATATCTTTCTAAGAACTTTGAAATGAAGGATATGGGTGAGACTTCGCATGTGATTGGAGTAGAAATATTCCATTATAGATTACATGGGATTTTAGGTTCATCCCAGAAGGCTCACATTAACAAAGTTTTAGAAAGATATAAACTGAAAAACTGCAAAGTAGGTCCTGCGATACTTACAAGGCACTAAGGACCACAGACTCACATATATAAAAGAATGAATAACCTAGAGGTGATAGGTTATTTGGACTCAGACTATGCCGAATTTTTGGATACCCAAAAATCCACATTCGGACATAATTTTCCACTTGCTCATGGAGCAATATCTTGGATGAGTGCGAAGGAGCCTGTCATTGCTACTTCCACTATAAGGCAAAATTTGTAGCATGCTTTGAGGCTACAATTCAATCATCATGGCTGCGTAATTTCATATAGGGTTTGGGCATTGTCGACACTATAACCAAACAATTGAGGAGTCATTGTGATAATACGGCAGCTATGTTCTTCTCAAAGAACGACAGATATACTAGAGGTGCAAAGCACATGGATTTGAAATTTCTGTCTGTTAAGGAGAAGGTACAAAATCAAAGAGTATGAATAGTGCATATTGGCACCAATCTTATGATCACAGATCCCTTGATTAAGGAATTGACGCCCATGACCTTCATTGGCCATGTTGGAAAGATGGGCATACTGGTAAAGTCCTTGTATAACGGTTAACCCTGCCATACATGTATGGATTTATGGTTGATTGGCACATCATGTTGATGATACTCTTAGATATCTATTAAGGGTTTGATTTTGTTATAGTTGATGTTGATCACTTATTTATGCATAATTCAGAAGTGATAACAATGGTCTTGTTTAAGACATAAGGAATAAGGTACTTTCGGATTCTACCTTATTATTATGGTTCGAATTCTTATTAACTGTGTTACCTGGAAGCAATGTTGCAAAACACGCTAGGCGCCTAGGGCGCCTAGGCGCCGATTTTTTTTTTATTTTATTTTTTATTTTTTTTAATCAAAAATAAAATTAAAAATTAAAATTTTTTAAAATTTAGTAATAAAACATAAGGTTTCCATAGTTATTTCTTAGAAACTATTTACGAAAGTGGTTGTAAAAGTGTTCAAAAGATTGTTTAAACCATCTAAATACATAAAAAATTAAAATTAAGAGCTAAAGAAGCATTTTTTTGAGAAATTAGTGGACCAAACCATTTGCGGTGTATAGATCTCGAAAAAATATGCGATTTGAAAAAAAAAAATTGTCCAAATCGGACAACTGAGTCAAAAGTTATGCCTTCCGAAAGTTTTCCGACATTTTCAAAGAAGGCCGAAATCGGCCATCTCCGCGGCCGGCCGGCTAGGCGGCCGCCTAGACCGCCTAGCCGGCCGGCCGCGGAGATGGCCGATTTCGGCCTTCTTCGTGGCGGCGCAATGGCGCCTAGGCGCGATTTTTGCAACATTGCATGGAAGGGAGCAGGACGTTATGTCACGCCTATAACCGCCATGATTCGGTTAATAAAGTTCGATAAGGATGTGGCTTTTACAATTTCATATTAAGTGAGCTCAAATTAAGGATTGAAAATTGTAAAGTCACGCTTATATGAATCAAGTGGGAGATTGTTAGAAATAATTTATTCCTAACATTGATTCATATAATAAAGGTGTCATGCTTATATGAATCAAGTGGGAGACTGTTAGAAATAATTATTTCCTGACACTGATTTATATAATAAAGGTTGTAACTCCATAAGGTACTCACGGTGATGATTAGTGATGTGTAAAGGCGGAATTACTGGGTGAAATTCCCTCACTCTCATCTTGTTAAAATTTAAGTTTATAAGGGTTAAAAGATGTATAATGGAAGTCCAAGATATTTACCAGATGTGTCTCCCTGACTGTTAGAAATAATTATTTCCTGACACTGATTTATATAATAAAGGTTGTAACTCCATAAGGTACTCACGGTGATGATTAGTGATGTGTAAAGGCGGAATTACTGGGTGAAATTCCCTCACTCTCATCTTGTTAAAATTTAAGTTTATAAGGGTTAAAAGATGTATAATGGAAATCCAAGATATTTACCAGATGTGTCTCCCTGACTTACACCTAAAATACTAACAACCTCACTTCTGGTCCGCTGAGTAACTTGAACTGAAACAAACTAAGGATTTTCGAAATTAATCATTTGGCCCAAAGTAGTGGCATAACAATCAAGAAGGATTTTCATGTGTCGGCTCTCAGTAATATTGGCATGGAGGAATAAAAAACAGTCATCTGCAAATAGAAGATGCGAAATCGGAGGGGCTCCTCTTCCAACACAAACTCCATGCAGTAGACCTCGACGCATATAATCCTCCAGCATCAAACTTAATCCTTCAGTTACAGTCAAGAACAAATAGGGGGACAAAGTATCCCCCTGGAGAAGCCCCCGCTCAGGAATAATTGGACCCAACTGCTGTTGTTTATATACGATTTTATAGTTCACTGAACTCACGGTTTCTAGCAGAACATCCACCCATTTTAGACTAAAGCCCATTTTAATCATCACGGTCTTAAAAAATGTCCATTCAACACGGTCACATGCCTTGCTCATATCGACCTTTAATGCAACAACCCCTTCCCTCACTTGTGTTTTGCATTTCAAGTAATGGTGGGCTTCATAAGCTAACATGATATATATTATCTGTAATTAACCTCCTTGGTACGAATGCACTTTGAACCCCAAAGATGAGTCCATCTAACATAAATTTCATACGATTTGCACAAACCTTGGCTGCAATTTTGTATAGAACATTGCAGAGAGCTATGGGTCTCAAGTCCATAGATTCTAGACGCACTTTCTTTGGAATAAGAACAATAAGTGTTGAATTAGCTTTATCAGGAAGCTTGGTGGAGTTTATAAATTGATGACAAAATAATGTGACTTCTCCCCCAACAACATCCCAGAAGTGCTGAAAAAAGCCTGGACCGAATCCATCCAGACCCGGGTATTTATTGGGGTGCATCTACATCACAGCTTTGTGCACATCTTCAGCACTTACGGGTCTAATTAATAAGCATGTCATTATCTTCTGGTCTTACACGAGAAGAAATGTAGTCAATGACCTCTTCCATATTTCCATGTTCAGCCGTGAAAAGTTGTTTATAATACTCGACCATTACATTGCCTATTTCATCCACCCCATCGATCCACACTCCTTCATCATTCTTGAGTTTGTCAATTTTATTTCATTTCTTCCTCGCCCTGACAGAATTATGAAAGAACTTAGGGTGTGTTTGGTTGATGGGTTTTGCACATAGGAATGGGTATGAAAGTGATTGTTGTTGTTTGGTTGATAGGTTTTTAGAACACTACTATGGGTTTCGAATACCCCATCAATTGAAAAACCCATACCCAAATACAATAAGGGTTTCATTCCCTTATTCATTCTCAAGCACTACTATTAGTAACCATTCCCATTCTACCCTACTACCAAACATGTTAAATACTTTCACCAAAACCCATTACCATTACCAAGTATTTGATACCCATTCCGATTCCGATTCCTATGTGCGAACCAAACACACCCTTAGTGTTTAAGTCTCCACCTTTCCACCAGTGTTCCTTCGCTCACTGCTTCGAAAATATGTGTTGTTGTTCGAGCAATATAAGCAATTCCTTTTCAATGCGATAGTATCAATGTTGCAAAAATCGCGCCTAGGCGCCGATTAATCGGCGCCTAGGCGCTAGGCGCCATTGCGCCGCCGCGAAGAAGGCCGAAATCGGCTATCTCCGTGGCCGGCCGCCTAGCCGGCTGAACCGGCGCCTGAACCGGCGCTTTTAATATTTTTTTTTTTATTTTTTTTTTTTTGAAAATGTCGGAAAACTTTCGGAAGGCATAACTTTTGACTCGGTTGTCCGATTTGGACAATTTTTTTTCAAATCGCGTATTTTTTCGAGATCTATACACCGCAAACGGTGTATAGATCTCGAAAAAATACGCGATTTGAAAAAAAATTGTCCAAATCGGACAACCGAGTCAAAAGTTATGCCTTCCGAAAGTTTTTCGACATTTTCAACGAAGGCCGAAATCGGCCATCTCCGCGGCCGGCCGCCTAGACCGCCTAGCCGGCCGGCTAGGCGGCCAGCCGCGGAGATGGCCGATTTCGGCCTTCTTCGCGGCGGCGCAATGGCGCCTAGGCGCGATTTTTGCAACATTGCACGGAAGGGAGCAGGACGTTATGTCACGCCTATAACCGCCATGATTTGGTTAATAAAGTTCGATAAGGATGTGGCTTTTACAATTTCATATTAAGTGAGCTCAAATTAAGGATTGAAAATTTTAAAGTCACGCTTATATGAATCAAGTGGGAGATTGTTAGAAATAATTTATTCCTAACGTTGATTCATATAATAAAGGTGTCACGCTTATATGAATCAAGCGGGAGACTGTTAGAAATAATTATTTCCTGACACTGATTTATATAATAAAGGTTGTAACTCCATAAGGTACTCACGGTGATGATTAGTGATGTGTAAAGGCGGAATTACTGTGTGAAATTCTCTCACTCTCATCTGGTTAAAATTTAAGTTTATAAGGGTTAAAAGATGTATAATGAAAAAAGGTTATGGTTTCCTAAAAGGAGGTTTCACACTCCTAAAGGGATTTCTATTCCTAACAAGAAGTTACCCATTCCTCTTGAAAGATGATTTCTCATCAGATTTATAAATACCCAGGAAAACTCTAGGGATCTTTACGGTTTCAAGTCTCTAAGTTTTCTAGTCTCCATATCATCAGGAGGTGATTAAGGTATACGGATCAGAGAGGTGAAGCATTCTTGATTTAAGTCAATTTAAAGAATACATCTCCAACGGAACAAGTAAGTTCTATCTTCTCTATTTAATTAAAAATCTTTGATCATGAATATTGTTTAGCTGATTAATTTGATTTACATGCGATTCAATGTTAATTGTACTTCCGCATTAAAGTTATAGCGCATAAATGATTATTTAATACCAAGAAGTGAGAGCAAATAGGGCGCTTGAATCCACCTTTTGATAACCCTTACTGGGACCTCTGACGCTAGTCTCAAACCAGCTCTTGAAAGTGAGATGTTGGCTAGGTATAGCCATAAAGGGGAGAACACGTTCCCATACTGCAATAGCTTCGGGACAGCTACGAATAATATGCTCCGTGGTTTCAAACTCTTCCCCACAGGCCTGGCATCTACTAGAGCTCGTAAGGCCTCTCTTTAGCCTATTCACATTCGACATGATTCGATCATGTCTTACCAGCCAAAGGAAAGAATGGACCTTACTTGGAACTTTCAAGTTCCATATTTGGCCCATATAGGATCGGCCGGTTGGTTGGAAGTCCAATCATTATGCCATGGAGGGTAACGGTGCACTGTTATCTTCCTTTTTTTTTCCTTTTTTTTTTAATTAACGGCGCGACTTTTATTCTTATTTTCACTTTTCGCGGTTTCACTTCCTCTTTGCGCAAGTTTCTTCAACATTCATAAATTATGAATGTGCAGGCATGAATTTATGAATGTGCAGTTATAAAATTATGAATTTTCTTTTATGAGATTATGAATTTTCTGTTATAAACTTATGAATTTTCTGTTATGAGATTATGAATTTACAGTACATTCATAATCTCATAACAGAAAATTTATAATCTGAACAAACGCGCGCCGTTAACAACGCATTAACTAATTTTTTTTTCTCGTAAAAACGACAGCCTTTGAACCCGTGTTCCCGTTTCCAGGGCATAATTTGCGTTGTTAGTCTTGGTTGTTAAGGCGTAAGCAGATTTTACCGAGAAAGAGTCCGAGTTGATGCCATTCCAACCAAGTATATCCGTTAGTTCCTCATCTTCACACAAGACAAAAACCTTTAATTGATCTTAATTGCCATCTTGGATAGCCGGTGGAAGGATGTCCCTGATTCTGTTCCAATCCCAGCCAACTTGAGGAACCCAGTAATCAGCCACTAGAGAGTAGAGCTCGGGAAGTGATAAGGACGAAGAAGTGGTCTAAATAAGAGGCCTATGGCCCAACCAAGTATCTAGCCAGAATCTGGTGCCCTTACCGTTTCTGACCAAATATTTGGAGCCTTTGGTGAGTAAAGAGACACCTTTCAGAATCCCCTTCCATGTATTTGTGCTATTCGGTGATGCTAGCCATGTTGAAGAATCAGTTCCAGTTTTTGCATATTTGTTCCTCATGATTGTCACCCAAGTGCAGCTGTTATCCGTAATCAGTCTCCAAGCAAGTTTGGCCATGAAAGACAAGTTCATGGCATGCAAATCACGGATGCCCAAGCCACCATCTTCCTTACTCAACATGACTGTTTCCCATGCAACAAGTCTGCACTTTCTGGATTCATTAGTATTAGAGGAGAAAGGGTGATTAGTTAGTTTGTTAATCAGTTTGTTAATTCTGTTAATTCAGCTTAGTTAGTTCAAGTAAATGTAGTGTATAAAGCTAGCTGCTTCTCTTCTTTTCCTGATTGATCAAATAACCAATGTAACAGTACTTCTTCTTCAATATTCAAAATCTGTTCCTCTCTTCCTTCCATTCTCTGTTCTGTAATATGGTATCAGAGCCATAAGCTCTCATGGCTTGGAACAATATGTCAATTAGACCTCCTGGGACCACTAATGCTCCACCAGTAGTAGGGACGTCGACGGCTCCACCTGCGCCGGCGAATGTCAATCCGGCCGCGACCTTTGATCCGAATGACGCCGCAAGCCCCTACTTCCTACACCCGAATGAGAATCCTTCGCTGATTCTAGTCACAACTGTTCTCAGTGGCCGCAACTACCACCCTTGGGCAAGGGCGATGGAAATGGCGTTGCTGTCCAAGAACAAACTAGGGTTTGTAGATGGCACCATCCCCATACCAAATGTCGAAGAGGTGAAGTATCCCTATTAGAGGAGATGTAACAATATGGTCGCAACCTGGATAATGCGAGCCATTTCCCCAGAGATCGCATCAACACTCCTTTGGGTTGGATCAGCTGAACGCATATGGAACACTCTAAGAGCCAGATTCAGTGAGGCAGACATCTTCAGAATCTCAGACCTCCATGCTGAAATCCATCACACTAGATAGGGTGACTCAACTGTGAGTGCTTATTTTGCAAAATTGAAAAACCTGTGGGATGAGCTTCAAGTGATCAGGCCATTGCCGATTTGCAAGTGTGAAAGAATGTGTGACTGTAGCTTGTTAGAGACCTTGCAGCAACATCTGGAAAATGACAACCTCTCAGTTTTCTTGAGAGGCCTTAATGAGACCTATGCATCTGTCCAATCTCAAATTATGATGACAAAGCCCCTCCCCACTGTTGATGAGGCCTTTATGATGGTTCAACAGCAAGAAAGGAGGTTTAATGGTGGGGTAACTGGGATACAAACTCAAGAACTAGGGAGTGTTCTCCTCACACAGGGTAATGGAACAGGCTTCAAGAAGTTCCACTCCAACAATAACAAGAGACCTGTTTGTACTTATTGTGGTTTTACTGGACACGTAGCAGAGAAATGTTACAAGAAGAATGGTTATCCACCTGGGTGGAAACCAAGAAACAAGGCTGCTGGTTCTGTTAATCAAGTTGCAACCAGTGAGTAGTTCCCAAATGAGGACACAAGATCTGACAACACTGGCCCTGTCACCTTGAGCCAAGATGAGTATAGGATGATCAAACAACTCTTGCAGAGGGATTATCAGTCACCCTTGAGCATGGCTGAAGGTACACCTCAGGTCAACCTCATTGCTGCTAGTTTTGCTCCTAACTCTCAGCTTGAAGGTACTCATTCTAAACATTCTTCTGGAAATCAAATTGCTTGGATTTTAGATAGTGGGGCTACCCATCACATTGTATGTGATCATAGCATGTTGACCAATGCAAAAGGGGTCCAGGGTATGTTTGTTGAATTGCCTAATGGAGGGAAAGCTGATATCACACACATAGGGTCTGTTTCTGCTGATGATTTGATGCTGCAGAATGTATTCTGTGTACCTGCTTTTCATTACAATCTAATTTCTATCAGTGAGCTAATTAAGACCTCCAAATGCAAGGTGTTGTTGTATTCTGATTGGTACATTATACAGGATCAGGAATGTGGGAGGATGATTGGCTTGGGTAACCTGCAAAGGGGGCTGTACTATCTTGTTAGACCAACTCTTCCTGTTTCAAATAAAGTAGTGCATGCTAGAGTCAATCTTTGTAATTCTACCAATACTTGGCATGCTAGATTAGGGCATTGTTCTTATGAGAAACTGAAGCAATTGCCTCATTTGTTGAATGTAAATCTGAAAATGAATAAAGATGATGTTTGTGACACTTGTCACTTAGCCAAACAGAAGAGATTGCCATTTTCTACTAGTTATAATGCCTCTAGTGAATGCTTTGATTTAGTTCACATTGACATATGGGGACCATACCAAACACACACCATATATGGACACAGGTTCTTCCTAACCATTGTGGATGATTGTAGCAGAGCCACATGGGTATATTTACTAAGAGGCAAGGATGAAGCCAGGTCATTAGTTCAAGGATTCTGTGCCTTAATCATGACACAGTTTGGAAAAATGATCAAATGTATAAGGACAGACAATGGGCAAGAATTTAAGATGGAAAAGTTCTATCAAGAGAAGGGAATAGTCCATCAAACAACCTGTGTATATACACCACAGCAGAATGGTGTAGTTGAGAGAAAGCATGGACATATTTTGGCTGTTGCAAGGGCATTAAAGTTTCAATCAGGGCTATCAGATGGTTTCTGGGGGGATTGTGTATTACATGCAGTTTACATTATTAACAGGCTACCCGCAGCAGCCTTGCAGGGTCAGATTCCTCATCAAATGCTATTCAAAAAGACACCTCAATACTCTCATTTCAGGGTCTTTGGGTGCCTAGCCTATGCTGTCCTACACAAAGGTCACCTAGGAAAATTCTCACCTAGGGCCAGGAAGTGTCTCTTCCTTGGACATCCTAATGGAGTAAAAGGGTACAAACTATATGATCTAGACTCTAGAGAAGTCTTTATTTCAAGAGATGTGGTATTCTATGAGCATGTCTTCCCCTACAAAGCAGTCAAACAAATTGACAGACAAGGTTCTTTTCAAGACCTTATTTTGCCAAATGACATCAACACTATGGAAGATATTGAGCATCAGAGGATGGTACAAATAGAAGAAAGGACTTATATTGGCCCCATAGATCATAATGAGCCTTCAACAGCTAATAGTCAGGATGACTCTAATCCAGTACAGTCTGATTTCATTCCAGAACAGCCCAGGAGGTCCAACAGACAAACATCCAGACCTGCTTACCTGAGGGATTATGATTATAACTTGCCTACTGCTAGAACTTCCCCCCACACTCTATCAGCTGTGATGTCTTATGAGAAGTTATCACCCACATTCAGGACCTTTGCTGCAAATATTCTTAACATCAAAAAGCCCAGATCCTATAATGAGGCAATCAAACATGACTGTTGGAGAAGTGCCATGCAAGCAGAGATAGAGGCTCTACAAGCTAACAATACTTGGGAATTGACAGACCTTCCCCCTTCAAAACAACCTATTGGATGTAGGTGGGTCTACAAGGTAAAACACAAGGCTGATGGCACAGTGGAAAGATGCAAGGCCAGGTTAGTTGCAAAGGGGTACACTCAGACTTGTGGAATAGATTATGTTGATACTTTCAGTCCAGTTGCAAAGGTGACAACTATTAGAACATTGCTAACTGTGGGATCTGCAAAAGGGTGGTAATTACATCAACTTGATGTCAATAATGCCTTTCTACATGGAGACCTCAATGAAGAAGTTTATATGAGTCTTCCACCAGGATTTGTTCCTCAGAAACCTGGGCAAGTATGCAAATTAAAAAGATCCCTCTATGGACTGAAGCAGGCAAGTAGACAGTGGAATGCCAGGCTGACTACTGAGCTGATCAACATGGGGTTTGCACAAGCAGATTGTGATAACTCTCTGTTCACTAGGGGATCTGGTGATGACTTCATTGCCCTCCTGGTGTATGTGGATGATGTGATCCTAGCTAGCAGTGACACAACTCAGATTCAACAGATCAAGGATCATTTACACTCAGTGTTCCAAATCAAGGACTTGGGAAATTTAAAGTATTTCCTTGGATTGGAGGTTGCTAGGAACCACACAGGCATTACCTTAACTCAAAGGAAATATGCCTTGGATCTTTTACAGGATGCAGGATTTCTTGAGAGCAAGCCAGTCAGATGCCCTATGGTTCAGACAAAAAAACTCTCCAAGGAGGACAGTGAAGTATTAGAGGACAATACTCAGTATAGAAAGTTGGTGGGCAAACTTTTATATTTGACCATTACTAGACCTGACATATGCTTTGCTGTGCAACAATTGTCTCAATTTCTAGACAAACCTACTGCCTTACATCTTCAAGCAGCTCACAGAGTGCTCAGGTATATTAAAGGATGCCCTGGCCAAGGCCTATTCTTCCCTACAGTTTCAAACATGAAATTAAGTGGTTTTGCTGATTCAGACTGGGCAGCTTGTCCTGATACAAGAAGATCCGTCACTGGTTTCTGTGTGTTCTTGGGAGATGCCTTAGTATCCTGGAAATCAAAAAAACAAAGCACTGTTTCTAGATCATCTTCTGAAGCTGAATATAGAGCTCTTGCCCTTGCTATTTGTGAAATACAATGGTTGCTCTATCTTCTTCAAGCCCTTCAAGTCCAGACAGGAGAAACAGCCATCATATTTTCTGATAGCAAATCTGCAATTGCAATGGCAGAAAATCCAGTCCTTCATGAAAGGACTAAGCATATAGAAATAGACTGTCACTTGATAAGAGGGAAGATCCAAAAAGGCCTTATAAAGCTCTTCCATGTTCCTACTGAACACCAAACAGCAGACATTTTGACAAAACCTCTGCAGCCCATGCCTTTCCAGAGATTTGTTTCCAAGCTAGGGCTCCATTCCATGTACTCCCCAGCTTGTGGGGGGGTATTAGAGGAGAAAGGGTGATTAGTTAGTTTGTTAATCAGTTTGTTAATTCTGTTAATTCAGCTTAGTTAGTTCAAGTAAATGTAGTGTATAAAGCTAGCTGCTTCTCTTCTTTTCCTGATTGATCAAATAACCAATGTAACAGTACTTCTTCTTCAATATTCAAAATCTGTTCCTCTCTTCCTTCCATTCTCTGTTCTGTAATAATTAGTGTCACCCCAAAGGAAGTTTCGAATCAGCTGTTCAATTCGGTTGATCACCCCTATTGGCATAAGCGTGGTTTGCATTGTATAAAAGGGTATAGCAGATAAAATAGCATGTGCAAGGACTTTTCTACCCGCAGAGGAAAGGGTCTTCATCCACGTTGGTAGAATCCCGCATGAAAACCGTCCGGTCCCGGGGCTTTGAACGCTGGCACATCAAAGAGAGCTGATCTGATTTCCTCCTTTGTGAAAGGGCTGTTGATATGCAACCAGTCTGTATTGTATAAAGCATGATAGCTTCCCCTAAGAGAGTTGTGGGAAGTCGTTGTGCCATCATCTGAAAATAAACCTGCAAAGAAGGAGAGAACATGAATCATCATAGAGTTATCATCAGCAAACTGATTACCTTGATCATCTTTGAGCGTAGTAATCTTTGAGGTTGACTTGTTAGCCTCGGTCCCCGCGTGGTAGAAGCGTGTGTTTCTATTATCCCCCGACACAATCCACTCCTCTCTAGACCGTTGAAACCATAAGACCTCTTCTTGGAGGAGAATTAATTCATACTCCTTTTGCAGCTTCTTTCCTAGTTTGAAAAGGTCTGATCTGCAGTTAAAGTTTAGGCTACGATGCACACCTTGTAGTCTAGCCAAAACTCACTTTTTCCTGTGGAACAGACTCCCAAAGGTGTCTCGATTCCATGCTTCCAGGCTATGAGCAATATTAATCTTATTTACTTCAAGCTCAACTGATGGATTCCAGTTACGATTCACCAGGTCTATGAACTCTGGATGGGTTGTCCACATGGCGTTGAACCTAAACCTTTTTTCATACTGACGGTTCCCTACTGGCACAGTGTTGATTAGAATGGGGCAATGGTAGGAACTAACCATCGGGAGATGAGTAACAGTTGCATTCGGGAAAAGGAGTTTCCAATCAAGGTTACAGAGAGCACGGTCGAGTCAAGCTCCCTTGAAAGACGTAGGTTTTGTTCCTCTACACCATGTATATCTGGAACCCTTATAACCAAGGTCGAGAAGGCCCTCTTGGAAAACCCAATCTTTGAAGCCTGCACAATGCCTGGCAGAAAAGGTTGAACTATTGGATACTTCCTCAATGTCTAGAACAGAGTTGTAGTCTCCTAAAGAAAGCCAAGCTCCATGGAGCTGCAACTCTGACTGAGAGAGATAAAAAAAAAAAAAAAAAAAAAAAAAAAAAAAAAAAGAGTTTCATTCTTAAAATAGCATCAGGGCTCCCATATTCTAGCGAAAGGAACCAAGCTTGAGTATCACTTTCCTTGACACCCAAACGAGCGGCTGGGGACTCGCCAAACTAGTGTGGCCAATGCCACGTGAATCTTCCTCCATCACGTCTTTGGGAGAGACATCTGCATTTCCTTGGGTAAGGTTGTTACCAGATTCATGATCCTCATAGTGAATGAGAGTGGATAAGTGAATTACTGGGAGAGATGGTTCCTCAGATAATTCAGTGGTCTGCTCATGCATTGGTGTGGGAAGATTGTCCTTTGAAAAAGGAAAATGTGATTCATAGAAAATCACATCTCTTGAAACAGGGACAACTCTTTCATTTAGATCATACAGAAGATAGCCTTTTGTGTTGGCAAGCATTCCAATAAAAATACACTTTTTACTTCGCTCTGCCATTTTATGTCGGGAGGGTAGCAGATTGGCAGCATAGCAAAGACATCCAAAAACCTTGAGGTTCAGCAAGTTGGGGTCCTTTCCATATAATTTGCAGTAAGGAGTTAACATGTCCACCACTGGTGAGGGCAACCTGTTTATAATATATGTAGCATGTAACACACATTGTCCCCAAAACTCAAGAGGAAGTGAAGCTTGAAATCGCAGAGCCCTTGCAACATTGAGAATATGCTGATGTTTACGCTCAACAACTGCATTTTGTTGCGGTGTATAGACACAGGATCTCTGATGGATCATTCCTTTTTTCTTCAAAGAACTCACACATGTTGAATTCTACTCCATTGTCAGTTCTAATGACTTTAATCGAGGCCCCAAATTGTGTGGAAACCATTGCATGAAACTTCTTCAACTGCTGCCGGGTTTCAGCCTTGTTCTTCATTAAATGTAACCAGGTGAATATGGAGAAACCGTCCACCAAGGTTAGGAAGTAGCGTTCTCCCCGCAATGAAGATACAAAAAATGGTCCCCATATGTCTGCATGTAACAGATCAAAACACGCTTTTGAAGAGGTGACACTTAGGGGAAACGGAGATCGTTTATGTTTAGCAAATTGGCAAACATCACAAGGCGTATTCTTAGTAGCATGAACATTTATATCATTCAAAAACTGCATTTTATTCACAGGAAAGTGACCTAATCTCTTGTGACAAAGTTCAACACTATTACATTGTGCTTTTATATTCTTGTGGACTGCATTCTGCATCCTTAGAGGTTTCTGCAGCAAATATAATCCATTTGTTTGTCTAGCTATACCAACTGTCCTCCCATGTGCATCCTGAATCAAACATTGTTCAAAAGTGAATAGCAGTTTATAACATGCATCTTGCACGAGCTTACTCACAGAGATTAGGTTGAATCTGAAAGCTGGAATGTGAAGCACATTTTTCAACCATAAATCTTGGCTGAATTTAACATTTCTTGTGTGTTTAACAACAATAGATTTTCCGGTAGGCAAATTTACCTCAGCTCCATGAACCATATGATAACTATCAAACCAATCCAGATTATGGAGTGCCCATAATACCCCTTCTCATATCAACCTTTTGTGTCCTTTGTTAGTATCGCAATTGTAGAAATCAATTCCATCATCCGGTGGGACATTTAGGATGGGAAGAGTGGTCGCAAGTGGGGAAGATGGATCAGAAATTCTCGGCTAGTGGTGGACAGTAACTCTCGTGATCGTACCACCCCCGGAAGAACCTCGAACAACAGTGTGAGCATCTTCAGCAGCTGCCTTTTTCGATGTGTTACTCCTTGAACCTCTACCTCTACTGGAGGGTTGATAACCCCCTTGTGGGAGATTGAGTTGGCTAACAGGCATACTTGTAGGTACTGGATCCTTGACTACAACTCTGCTACTTTCTCCAACTTGGAACTAAGCCCGGTTAATTTGTCTTGAAACAACTCTGCTACTTTCTCCAACTTGGAACTAAGCCCGGTTAATTTGTCTTGAAACATCAATCTTCTGGGTAGGTTCGTCAGTTTGCATGTCTGCGTCTATGTCACATAGGGCCAGGAGTTGAAAAGCTGGTTCTCATAGACCTTAGTTACTCCCATGTTAGTAGGTGCTCCTGTCTGGCCTTGCCTTCCCTGGGCAGGCTTTCCCAATGGCTTCCTGGGTGCTCTGCGTTCCTTTCTTTGCGCTATCATCCAGATCCCGTATTTTTCTGTCTCAGACCAGTGATCTTGGAGGGTTTTAGCATCAAAGCTGGTTCATAGGAGTCGCCGTTCGCAGCATCCTTATGCACTATCTTTTCACCTTGGTCTGGGCACTCAGAACTGCGCGAACCTGCCCTTGTTCCACACTGGTCGTGTTTGTAGCCATATCTGCCACATTTAAAACACATAAGACGATGTTGTAAGATTTTCCCTAATAATATATATTATATATTAGGGCCTTAATTAAGTGGTGCAAGTTGACTAGGCTTACTAAGTGGTCTGGTTGGACTTAATAACTAGTAGTTGTTAGTCAACCAAACTCTGTGCCTAATATAACCTGGATTGATGGGATACAGGATTATGGATTAGATAGCACATTCAGTTACGGTACTCAGACCGCTCAGTAGATACCAATACACCATCTAGGGTTCTGAGTCAGGTCTGAGGCAAAACATGGCTGACGGTCTACCGTTAAGAGGCAACACAACAAGAACATCAACTATGGCTGGAGATCAACACGGCTACGCTTCCGCTATCATACGAGATCAGGTTTCTCGTATACTATGGTTCATATAGTTAGACTATTGTATATCTAACATTTGGTTTCAGAGCCTTTATAATCTCTGTCTGGTTGATTGAGTTGCCTACGATCAACATTAATTTCTTTCATATACATTAAGGGTTTTTCGTATATGTTTTATATTAATATTTCGAAATCAGCATACAATTATATAATTTTCCTTGTATGTGTAGAATGAATTAACGTACTGTAGTTGTGTTTTTTTTTTTTTTTTTTTTTTGAAAAAAAAAAAAATTCAACATGAAGCACAGTTATTTTCATATTTCATCTGGACTTCGAAATATTAATTATATCCATTATTTTGGCTTTGGTTGTTTGACTTGGAGTTTCCTGGGAGAACACGCAAGTCATTAAGTTTGTTGACATCGACAGTGAAGATTGGGAGAATTCTGGAGTTTTTTCTTCTCTTGTGGATCATCATCGTTGTTAGCGCAATGGAGAGATGCAGTTTGCATCATTAAGGTTAGCCATTAATTATCTTTTATGGTTGTTATTGATAATTAGTGCTACAGTTACAGTTAACCGCTAATTTGGACTAGTCACATATTTTATCTTTAGAAAATGAAAACATTAAAAGTGCATTACCATACTTTAGTTTGTCATTACTAATGTTAATAGTGATTATAATGTTACTTATTGCTATTAATAATTAATTAATGATAACATTAATATTGTTATGGTATTCAGTTATGCACCTTGAACTGTTTCCAAATAAATTTATGTGACAATACTCCAGTTCAGAAAATAACTTTCTGGACATTAATATTTTTCGGACTTTAAATTTTATTAAGTTTTCAAAATTTTATCCGAAAACGTTTATAAATGTTAGCGGTTTTAACCATTGTTTTTCCATATTTAGTCTCCTACCTAATATGGTAATATTATTATGACAATTTTTTGCTATTCTGATTGTTTGCAATTTTGCCATTAATAATAATATTATTATTAATTGGGTTATGGAGAGTGATTTTGAATCAATTTAGTAATTTTGGAAAAACATATTTTCTAGGCAATTGACTTTTGCCATTAATTCCATAATTCATTTAGTTCTTGGAATTATGATTTTAGTTTTGATTGCCCATGTTTGGTTAAGTATGAATAAATGAATATTTTGTTTATATTCATATTCTTTAGTTGGTTCATACTTTCTAGATTGTTTTATGCATTCGATCACATTAAGTACATAATATTAAGTTTAATTATGTAATTAGGGTTTATGAGATTTTAATTTACAAATGCTAGCATATCCTTTTGGTTTGATATTGTTTGAATTTGTAAATACAGTTATTTCTCATAAATTTGATCTTTATGCATTAAAACATTTTCCCATGGGCTTACAGTTTAAAAATTTTAAATTATATATTCAGTACATTATTATTTAAAATGTTGGGTCTCTTTTGGTTTGGACTCATCGGTGTTTGAATATTAAGTTTATACTTTAAAATCTCATATTGTAAATTGCTTTAAGTTATGCAATTTCTTTGGAGTATATGAGTTTAATGTTTAATTTTATGCATTTTGTCCTAAGCATAATATTATGTTTTAAATTATGCAATTTTATTATGCCTTTAGCAATGCATACTTAGATGGAATTATATTAGTTCCTATTTAAGTTGGACTTATGCATAAACTTTAGTTGCGGTAGTGCCTGAATTTAAGCACGTTTAGTCCGCTAATTTAGTTCACCATTTAAGCTTTACTCATAGGTGAACCCTACAGTTTTCTGGTGTATACCATACAGTTTACTGGTTTATACCCCAAACAGTTATACATTAAGTATATATGAATCGGGGAGACATACTAGTTTTAATGGTCATGACTTAAGAACATCTTGAGCCACTAGTCTCCTTAAATTGATACTCTATTTAAGGAATTGGTTTTCAGTGAGACTTAGTGTCTAACCGCCTTTCCTTGGAGTATATTTAGATTTTCCCATCACAATCTGGTATAATCTGTTTGTCAAAATTTTTTAAGTATTTCTTGCCAATGTGATTTTATTTCGGTTCATTAAAGAATAGCCAAAGCATCTTTAATTTACTGAAATATCTTGAGTTTTTGATCTTGGTTAATTAAGGAAATGCTACAGCATATTCAGCTACATAAGATTGTTAAGTTTCAATCACATAAAGTTTAGGCAAGGAATTGATAATTGTCTAGTGATCTTATAATTTTAATTTGGTTTTGGAGTAGCCACAGCATCCTTAATCTGTTAAAATTATATATTAAGCGGTTTATTTTGATCACATAAAGTTTTGGACATATCATTTGTGATTAATTGTATGTAATATGATGAAATTTAGCCCACAGGCAATTTCGTTATATTTGTATAATTAATCAGGATGAAATACTGGACTACGGTCATAATTTCGCCCACAGGCAATTATGTATCGGAATGTAGTTTAGTAGTTTTATCAGTAACGATAGAAATAAATCAATTTATTTACTTTATGATTATTTGTAAATAATTTCCAATTCTATCATGAAGTTTAATTTTATGATGTAAATTTAGGTCATATTTCTTAATTTGCCCACAGGGATTAAGAAAAGGAACATGATCTCTTAAGTTTTTTATCATAATGATAGCAATGAATCTTATTGACTAAAACTTTAGCCTACAGGCAAGTTTTATGTCATTTGATTCTTCAACTCATTTGATAATAGTTTCATCATAAATAAAATTTTTCAGTTGGATCTAATTGAGTAAAACTTTAGCCCACAGGCAAGTTTTATGTCACTAGATTCTTCTGACTCTTTAGTAATTGTGAAAAATATTATAAGGGTTTAATTGGATTTAATAGAATTAAAACTTTAGCCCAAAGGCAAGTTTTATGTCAATAAATCCCACCACCCATTAGATGATAATTTTATCACAATTTCTTAGAGTTATAAATTCAGTTCAATTATAATTCTAAGTTTCATGGTTTGCATTGGCAAAACATGTATTCAGTCACTTCCCAAAATTTAGCAACTTTTATTAATTAATCCACGAATCTTACTCGGTTCTTCGGACTAACTGTAGTAAGTTACATGATTTGACATACATCTTTTGGATTCCATTAATAATAAAATGTATCTTTTGAGTCAAATTCTAACTTGGTTTTGAAAGATGTATTTTGTTTTTTTTTTAGTATGTCCAACTATGGTGGGGAAATATATCTTCATTAGTTAGTTGGACTTTAATTGGAACCAAAAATTGATTATTTAGTATGTCCAACTAATGGTGGGGAATTATGTCTTCATTTGTTAGTTGGTCAATAAATCAATTATGAGTGTGTATATTATTATTAAGTTCACTTTATTAATTTCGCTGAAGAATATTTTAATCAGTGGGAGCGATCATTTAGCAAAAGATCATTAAGATACTCCACTAAAGTTTATGGATTTAATTGTTTTATGTTAAACAATCAGTCCATAAGATTCCACAAGTTTTATTTTGTATTTGTTCATATAAATTCATAAGTTCAAATTATTGAACATTTGGTTGTGCAACATATTTATGAAAATGTTGCAACAATATTAAGGAATTTATTAGAACAAAAGCATTTAACTTGTGGTGCACTGTCATTTAATAAATTCTTCAGTGATTAATAGAGTCTTTAGTTTCTTCAAAATTGATCCTGGGTCATTTCGGTTGTAAGGCTCACAACAATTTTGTGGGACATAAAAGTAAGACTCATTATGTTCAGTTCATTTAAAATAGACATTGAAGTTATTTGGGAAGTTATGGTGTATGTTTAAGATTCCAAATTTATGGACTTAGACCTTTGGTTTATTGTCTAAGTTATTGGAATGCTTCTGTGACTTGACTATCTTTTGGCTATTTTTGATGAGTGGGAGTGACAGACGTGTCAACTCCAAGCTCTTAGCTGTTAGAGATAGTACTTAAAGTTAACTTATAAAGAAGTCATGGAATATAGTTAGCATTATGCTAACATTAAGAGATCTCTACTTAAGGCATGCTCATAAAGTTTTAGAGATCATACAGTGTACTCTTTTGTACAATTTGGATGTGTTTTCTCCTTCAGTTGTGCACATAATGTATTTTGAGAAACATCCCTTAAGGTACCGAGAATAAACATAGGGTTTGTTCATTAAGGACCTAAGTTGGAGAATTAAAATGCATGTGACCATAATGGATACTACTCTGATTAAATAGAGGACGTATCACTATGATTCGTGTGTTTTGTTCTTTGATGAAGGTTGTGCTAGTACTTGCACCAAGTGGGAGAATGTAAGATTTTCCCTAATAATATATATTATATATTAGGGCCTTAATTAAGTGGTGCAAGTTGACTAGGCTTACTAAGTGGTCTGGTTGGACTTAATAACTAGTAGTTGTTAGTCAACCAAACTCTGTGCCTAATATAACCTGGATTGATGGGATACAGGATTATGGATTAGATAGCACATTCAGTTACGGTACTCAGACCGCTCAGTAGATACCAATACACCATCTAAGGTTCTGAGTCAGGTCTGAGGCAAAACATGGCTGACGGTCTACCGTTAAGTGGCAACACAACAAGAACATCAACTATGGCTGGAGATCAACACGGCTACGCTTCCGCTATCATACGAGGTCAGGTTTCTCGTATACTATGGTTCATATAGTTAGACTATTGTATATCTAACAGATGTAGCTCCTTGTACTCAATTGGGCATATCTCCGGCCCTATTGTAAACTTTGATAAGAGTGGCTTCGTAATATCGAGCTCCACACAGACACAGGCGAATATTCCCCTAGTGACCAAACTAGTTGTAGTATCAACTTTGATGGCCCGACCAACCTTATTACCTATCTTCATTGAAGTATTCGATCGGCAATGATGGAACACGAAACCAGGCGATGAGGTTCTCAGTTTTATCCAATACTAGTAGGTGCACCCGCGCGATGCGCGGCTATATATATTATGATATATATACAGTATAATATAATTAGATGAAAAAATATATAGTTTGAATTCGTAATAGTATGATATATATACAGTATAGAATATAGTTATTAGACCTTTAAAAATGTGAAATGAAAAGTAGTGATTTTATTCGACATTGATGAAAATAGTAGTTTTATTATACATTAAGAGACTCTACCTATATAGTACATAAAATATGACGTATAATATAATAAGAATAAGAAACCTAATAACAAACGTATTATTGAAACAAATTGTTAATTGTTATTATACATTATTGAAAACTTCTTTGTACAAAACATTTTTAGTCGTACTAAGACATGGTACACTTTCCCCGAAAATCAAAATTTTCAAACCCCTGGGGTTACTAACTCTTGAAACAGCTACGTATAGTTGTCCATGGTTAAAGACCGGTTTTTTCAACAACAACCCAACTTTAGCAAGCGTTTGTCCTTGACTTTTGTTGATTGTCATGGCATAGGATAGCATCAAGGGAAATTGCTTTCGTTGAAATTTGAAAGGCAATCTAGGATCTGACGGTGTAAGGGACATCCTAGGAATCAATACTCTGGTTCCTGCATTTGTACCGCACATGATTTGGCCTTCCAACACATGGTCAGCCAACCTTGTAACAATCAACCTTGTACCGTTGCATAATCCTAATGTGTGATCAATATTTCGCAACAGCATAACAGGTGATCCAACTTTCAATGTCAACGCATGATTTGGGACTCCAGAACATCTCAATGCATTCAAGAATTCCGGAGTGTGCAAATCCGCTAACATGTCCACATTGGCATCTGACTTACACACAGAATCACAACTCAGGTATGTCTTACTCTCAGCGGGATTATGGTCATTCATGTATTGGTTAACGGCATCTACCACATCCAATGTTGGAGCTAAAATTGCACTATGATTAAGATATGACAAATCGGCAAGTCCCAGTCGGAAATTGGGGAAAGTGCTATCAACAATTGTAGCAATAGGGTCATCTTCGCACTTTAACGACAAATCTTCTGGAATAGTAATCTCTGACTCCCCATCCAGTTGACACCCAATCATTCCGTCACCTATATTAGCTATCCATTTAGCAAATTCCTCGATCTCCTTGCACTCGGATTCTGATTGAACACTTTTCAAGCGTAGATTCTTAGTCAGCCTCAAGACTTTACAGGATTGCATAGATAGGATGAGCTAATGCTCGCATGAACTATATCCGGTCTAGTACCCTTGGGAATGACTGGTAAAATTTGCCTGAAATCGCCACCCAAAACAACTGTTTTGCCACCGAATGTCATATCAGAACTCCTTGGATTTACGAAGCGCATCAAATCCCGCATAGTTCGATCCAAAGCTTCAAAGCAGAATTTATGCATCATTGGGGCTTCGTCCCATATTATCAGCTTTGTTTGCACAAGAAGTTCCGCCAGTTCACTGTCGTTCCTTATGTTGCACGTGGAATCTTCATTAACAGATATCGGTATAGCAAATCTGGAATGCGCCGTACGACCACCAGGTAATAACAGCGAAGCTATGCCGCTAGAGGCAACATTTAAAACTATTTGACTCTTAGACCTTAATGCGGAAGAAAGTGCTCGCCACAAGAAAGTCTTACCTGTCCCTCCATAACCAGATACGAAGAATAACCCACCTTGCTGGCAATCGACGTCAGTTAACACTTCATTGTATATTGCCCTTTGTTCGTCTGTTAACTGCCTTACCAATTCTTGATTCTCTTTCTCTTGTTCTCCACGATCGTATGATAATTCTTCTTGAACCAACCTATTTGCAATAATGTTTAACGCACCAAAATTGGCCGTTGGCATCTCAGGATAGTCCTTCAAACTCTTACCATGATTAGATAATAGCTTTTCAACCTGAACTAAAGCAAAGTTCATTTTCTGCGAATCGGTCAACACAAACTCTGCATACATATATATAAACATTTGTTGTTATAGCTCAAATACGTTAAATTTGACTTAATATTCTTTTAAAAATGTACGATTACCTCTGTTCTGCAGTTGTGTACGGATATTGAATTGGGCATCGTCTGATAGATGTTGCCAAACGGCGTGCCAAACTATTTCCGGTTTCCCCATGCAACTGCTCATTAGTAATGTCACAAACAATCTCCTCAATTGTTCCGCTGACGCCCAATGACTGGCTTCATCTATTGCATCAACATATTCGTTGTCATCATCAACTAAACCTCTTGCATAACACGCATCTCGGAATGAGTCATATTGTACTCCATTTACAGTCCTAATATCTTCGTAACTTTTAGGGCCGCGAACTTTGTTGAGCAAACACCTCAAATAGAAGATTTCGCCAGTAGCTGGCGGGACATAGAATATACGTCCTATGGAGAACCCTTTCTTTCGTGGCTGCCATTTTCTAAGGTCTTTCTTCCAAACGAATCTTGTTGGCATCTCAACATAAGTAAGCTCTCTGGCACCGGGGTATGTTTTATTAGCTTCAAAACATTCTAAAAACATGCTCTGTGCTATCGTAGGTCTATTCACAATGTTCTCAACCGCATCATCATCTGCAAATATCACACTCTGTTGATTAGGTAGGTGAAAGCTTAACCTCTCTACCGAAGGCGCACGAAGTTGTATATCAAAACCAAACAGACGCCAGACCGCTTCACACGGGGATATGTACATACAGTCATAGTACATATTTATCTCATCTACTGCTTTGCCATTCTCGTCATCATTGCCTGTTTTGTAAAATTCCGCTGTTACTCGATCATGACCCTTGTTAACATACTTGAACAGGTACTTGATTGACCTTGATTGGTTGCACCACTCGACATTTATATGAGCCTTGTACTTGAGCAATAAATATCTATTGTGCGGTACCACATACCTGTTGTCCAAGGCGATACCGTTCTTTGTAACTACACTGCCATTGTCTCTCCTTCTATATACCGGGTAACCATCGTCATCAAACGTAGAACTATCAACAAATCTCTTAGGAAAATGTTTAGAGCATCGCGCATTTACCATGCATGGAGAATTTGTCCTCGCTTTTCCACATGGACCATGCATCATAAATTCCTCTACCGCTTGGTAATACTCAGCATCTTTCTTTTCATCCGGAATCTCTGCGGAAATTATGTTGTCTAGAGTGAGAAGTTGCCTAACTTCTTTACTTTTCTCCAGAAAAAGTAATATATGAGCATGCGGAAGACCTCGCTTTTGAAACTCAATTGTATATATGACTGTAACAACATACAAATAAACATAATAAGGTTAAGCAATTACCTAAAATTTATTTAGATAAATTGATTTAAAATAAAAAAAAAAAAAAAATATTACCTCCAGCCACAGGGCCAAATAGTTGATTCTTTCGACAGTCAGCTATCAAAGCATCCAACTTAATCTTGAATAAGCGGCAAATTATGTCCGGCCGGTCTTCTGGCTTCAACCTTTGATCTTTTAAAAAGCGTTGCACCTCAGGCCACTTCGGATTGCATGTAAAAGTTATAAATAAATCTGGGTATCCAATCCATCTACATATTGCCATTGCATCTTGGTAGTTTTGTATCATGTATCTAGCACCACCCATAAAACTCGAAGGTAGTATTATTCTACGACCTTGGGCTGCAGGACTTATTTCACCCCTTGTCAAAGCATCAGTCAATCCACTATAACTCTCACACCTTAGGCTTTTTTGGTGTGTCCTTATATAAATTAGTCTTCCAGACTCAACCATTGTGTAGCCATCTACAACGAACTGTTGGAACAACCGTTTGGCAAATAATATGGTACTCGGAGCTGACTGTCTAGATTGTATGCGGTAGCAAAAAAACTCCCTGGGGCTAATCCTCTATCTACCACCAGAAGAGCGCCTGCCTACTACGTCGGCGAATGCAATGTCCTCCCGATAACCATCTTCGCCATATGGAAACAAAATAGGGTATTGCAGTGGTAAGTATGAAGGATTTAATTCAGTAATCCTCTGTAGGTGGCCACCCTTCGATTGAACAATAATATCACGCTCTCCAATACTTGTATCCAGATCTCCAACAATTAAAGCTGCTACTTCAGAAACTTGAGGAAGATTATATGTCCTCGCATCTCTAGTTCGTTTTCCCAACAACTTTATTTTTACTTCGGCGCATGGATTAATATCCAACTCAGACATAGCCATGCGAAAAGACTTAACCAAGACATTATTTTCATCCAGGTCTTTCTGAATGACATTCACTATTTCTACATGAATGTCATCTTGGTCACCACTACCCCTACAACAACATATACTTGGAATTGATATTTATTTAGATAAAAAAATAGTATTTAATGTGTAATTACGGAAACTTCTTTACCTCACAGCATTTATACGGTTGTTCCTTTCATTTGCCGTGTCGTATATGTATAACTGGGCAAAATGAGGTTCTTTGCCTTGTTCTGGAAGTAAAGTGCCCATTAGGTGGTAGTTTTGACCACTTAATCGAAAAATTGGAGGTGCTCCCCCCTTGTTCACGTTCTTGTCAATTTTTCCACCCATGGATGTGAAGCAGAACATGTTGTTGTAGGTCCTAATGTTGTGTAAAAACTCTTTTGATATTTCGTCATTGCTGAAAAAGAGATCAAATATACCTTTTGGTGGCAACTTATTATCCGGCAATTTGATCTTCCCATTGTTGCAACACAACATAAACAGTGGCGATGCTTTTGTTGACAAATTCTTCTTCCTTTCTTCAAACCAAAACAGAGCACCACAATGGACGCACTGATTCGTTGCATCACCAAAATCGCAGTATTGACCTGAAACCAAATATATACAAATTTAAATACTGATTTATATTTCAGGCACGTATAAAACAAACATACATACCATGTTGTGGACCAGAGGATGTCCCAATTTCCGAGGTCTGCCTAACAGCGTTACCCGATATATTTGCATCTGAAATTAAAAAACATTTAAAAATTATTTTTAATATTGAAAGAGTGACCATATGTACTTTACTTATATTTGTTTGAAACACCACAGGGGACTATTTTTTTACCATCTATGTTCTGATTTGGGACATCACTCATTGTATTGTTACTTTCATCTTCAAAGGCAGGTAGCAAGTCTCTGGTTGTTACATGGTCTTCGACAATTGCATATTTATCTAATGGTTTACGAATTGCCAATTCATCTTGTGTTATCGTCGAACCCGGATTTTGTTTATCTACAATAAAAAATTTTTGGCAATTGCTTGGACCTATTTGTGTATTGCACTGCCGTACTGTACACATACATAATATTAGACAAATTTAAAGAATAACAATATTTAAAGTGACAATTAATTGAGACCACTACATTTTATGGGACTATAAAAAAATAAGTTGGTAGCACGTACTAACATAAAAAGGATAGAATTCTTAATATTATAAATTAAATACACTTAACATTATAACTTATGCTACCCTAGAATATGAAATAGTAATTTAACTGTATAAGTATTATTATATTTTATTGGAAAAATCACATGATAGACCATGGTCCACAATAATGTGTGCACCATAAATAGGAATAAAAGTGAAAAAGTGTATTTCAGCAAAAAATTGATATTAGAAATTGATATTATCAAATAAATCATATATCAGCAAAAAATTAGTGAAATTACAATTCCACACATACTTATATGTACCATGAGTTACATTATAATTAAATTACACATAACAAAAGAAATATAACTATTTGAACAAAAAATTAGAAATTGATATTATCAAATAAATCATATATCAGGCAAAAATTAGTGAAGTTACAATTCCACACATACTTATATGTACCATGAGTTACATTATAATTAAATTCACAAAGAGTCTATAGCAATTCAGCTTAGGGCATTTACCGGTAGTGATGTTACTCAATGGTGTGATATTTTCATACAAACATCCTCGCTGGGGATTAGTGTAAGGAGTAGCTGTCGTCCGTTGGTCTTGATCTTGAGCAGCATTATTCGTAAAAGATGAGCAACGAAATGATTTGCTGTGATTGAAAATATACCATTAAATTAAGAACTAATTCCAATAATTATAACTCGAAACAATTAAGCACACATAACATAAATAATTTTACAATTGCACAACTTTAATACGTAATCGAATAGAATTATGTAGACGATGGTCCACATTCTAACTTAAATACAATTCAAATCTAAAAGTATATATCATTAAGTACAATGTAATCAATTAATTACACCTAATCAATTAATTAGAAATTGATATTAAACATAAATTACATTACAATTATAACATTTAATTTGACAAACAGCTTCGAACAATTAACAGTATAAGGACATTTAAATTAACAATTAATGTATATCAATTCATATATTGGGATTTACCATTACTGATGTTACTGAATGGTGTGATATCTGGGGACAAACCACATCCCAACGGATTTTGGGTTCGATTATTTGGCGTATTTTGCTCTTTCCCTTGACAAGCATTAGTCATTAATGATGATTTGCAAAAATTATTTGCTGTGAGGAAAAAAGAATCAATTAAAAGACGATAAAAACAACAGTAAGTACAACAATTGACATTTTTAAAATTAATCACACCTAATGCTATTCATTACGCTAGCCTATAAGTGTAAATTGTAATTGTTTTAAATAAGGTTTACATAATAAGTAGACCAATAAAAAGGTTTTTTAAATTCACAATGATGCTATATCAATTGAACTTAGTTGATTTACCGTTAGTCATGTTACTCAAGGGTGTGATGTTTTGCGGCAAACACCCTCCTAGAGGAATGCGGGAAGGATTTCTTGCCGGAGGCTGTTGTTTTCCTTGAGCAGAATTATTCCTTGATGATGAGTTGCCCAATTCATTTTCTGCGAATTAGAATAGAACATTAAAATAAATAATAATCCAAATAATTAAAAATCCTAAAAATGAATTACACATAACACAACTAACAGTACATAATTAATTTCGAATTGTTCAAAATTTACCTAACAATTATTTACAAATTAGTGATTGTGCCACTAAACACACCTAACGGATAATCTAATTGTAATATATATATATATATATATATATATATATATATATATATATATATATATATATATATATAACCTGAAATTGTAATGGCTATATAGTAACACTAATTTTATTTGACAAACTCTTAAGTATAACATTGTCCACAATAAATACCATTAAAATTGTTAAGATTATATATCTAATTAATTACACATAACAATTCAAAATTAAATATATAAATAAATAACTATATACATATCTATATATTTATTTATTAATTTATATGTATAAACTATTTAAATATATATATTTTCTGTATATATATAATTTGCCGCACATAATATATATATATATATATATATATATATATATATATATATATATATATATATATATATATATATATATATTAATTATTATTGTTTTTCCGGTCGGAATATTGAGAGAAGAGGAAGGAGGCTGATAAGCCTTCTCCTTCGCTTGACCTCTCCTTCTCTCATGTCTGAACCGCTCTGTTCTTCAGCAATTCCAAACGATCTTCCTATATTTCTCTGTCAAGCCTAAATCTAGATCAGTACTAAGTCGTAATCTCCGATTCAACTGTTCTTATTGAACATTATTTCCGGAGAAATTGTAGTCGGGTCTCGCTTAGCATCGATCCGATTTTCAATACACAATCCCGATCTTTCCTTTCTGTGAAAGATCGTAGTGTTCAACAACGGTAAATGGTGGCAATCGCGTTTCAGTGAAGCTAATTTTCCAATTCTAAGGTTAGTATGCTTTAAATCTACACAAAATTTGTTTAGGGTTTCGTACTTTTCATTGTTCTTTGTTCTAAAATTGATCTACATTTCTAGATCTACGCATGCATATCGACAATTCGTAGTCCAATTTATTGATTTCAGATTTGTATGATTCATAGCCATTAGTGTTCTAAACCGTATTCTTTTTAGAAATTGCTCTAAAAACACCAAATAGAAATTACTCTTAACTGTTTAACAATCATTTTCAAAATGGTATAGCTATATTATTATTCACACAAACCCTAACCTTTTTTCGACTTTATCATGTTGTTTTTCATGAACATACTGGAATTTTTTGAGGAGACAGAGAGCATAAACAGAATCGCACAGGAAGAGGATGCTATAATGAAGCTTAATTTGAAGTATTAAAAAGATAAGTTTCGAACTTACCTTTATTTTCATCACTTGGTTTCCTTTTGATGCCTATAATTGTTTATTTAGTGATTTTCCTCATTGCTCTGTCTATTGTTTTTACTTGAAAATGTAGATGTGATTTGTCTATTTTACTGGGGTATGAAACTGGCAGGTTGTGTTGGTAGTTAGATGGGGCATCCTTGTTTAGATGGGTTCATTGTAGTTTATTTTAATTTTGCCTTGATTTTGAAAATAGGATTGGAACTGAAGATTTTCTCTTAATAGTAATGATAGCTGCCCATCAATTCTATTTAATGTTTAGGCAATGTGTTTCTTTTCCTAAGAATGATTAACTAATACTTAACAGGACAATAATTCCCTTGCCTTGGCAGTGTATGGCAGTGTATTCACTTCTATGTTATGGCAATTAAAATATAGTTTCAGTTTTTTAGTTAACCGAACAATGTTAATTAATTTACAACTCTGGAATTGCAATGTTGTTATCTAATTTCTTTCAAAATGTGGCTGCCAATTTATTCAATGTATGTGTTGTTATTATTTATTCTGGACAGAA